CCAGGTGTCCAATCTACTCTTTTATTTGATGTCATTGCTTCTTGACTAAATATTAAAATTTTTACAAAAATTCCCACTTGTAATTGCTGTGCATAAGAAACAGGTCCTCCTTCTACAGAACAAAGCAAAATAATGAATTGCTTCAAGTGTAAACATGATGTCAGCTTCTACTGGAAGTTACTAACATTTGATTGGTTCTCAGAACAAGAACAGTGATTGGCCAGGAAAGCTAGAGATTACAAACCACTTTATAACTGTGTTTTTTATTTATATTAAAGTACATATAACTTTTTTGTATTCCAAATAATTGAATTTTCTGTTTTGTATTGAATTCAGTAATAAATTCTCTTTAAAATGATACATACAAGTTTGCATTTTGCGAAACGTAACATTTTCTATAAGCATACAAAGTTCAAAAACATAAAAATTTCCAAAAGTGTCCACAATTTTGGCCACCACTGTACCTTTTACACAAATGCGTTTCACTTTTTGCTGCTTGGATTTGCATGGGCTTCATAGGAATATATGAATTCAAGAAACTTAAATAGCTGTCACTTGAACATTTGTGGGGCCCCCTCATCCTGAAAAGAGAACCTGTTTACTGCTTTTTAAAAATAATTAATGATTTTGAATTCCCACTGATCACAGGAACTTTCAACATTAGGACATGCGATCTAATAAATCTTTCGCTGCTGAAGCTCTGAGTAACTACAAACGCTTATAATATCACATAACTGTTGCTTTTGCTTCAGAAATATATATAATATTTATAAGCGGATATTACTGATTTATGTTAATCAGCGGCAATAAATATTAATTTTAGCACGGGGAATCTACCTCTCAGTTGTCTCTGACAATATGTACGGTCATGTTTGAAATGTAGATATATATCTTCAGCATCCTGAATCAATGACTGAATTGCTATGAATTGTGCATTATGAATGAGAGAATTATGACGATAGTCATCATTAAGTCATTATCATAGATCCGGATTTACATGCTATAGAAATTTTGTTTAATAAGGTCATGCTATAATCTGTATAAACTGATGCTCTGGATGTAATGATGTAATCGTATTCATTGTGATACGGCCTGTGCCAGAATTTATTCACAAATGCAAAGTATGGGTCAAGACGTGGAGAAAGCAGATATCCAGACAGATTTTATAAAGCGATAAAAGATTTATTCTTCTAGTAAAACTTCATAGCACAGATTTATTTCTAGTATAAAGTCAATACTGTAAATTTTAAGTCAATTAAATTATCACTGAATCATTTCTAGTCTTTGAAAATCTGAATCAGATTGGGCAGAAATTGTTCTATAAAGAAATGCTCTTCTGTTCACGAAACAATTTCCTTAAAAAACAGCCTGTTTAAAGAAACAGACTGTGCAGTGTTAAACAAGACTTTTTTTCTTTAAATATAGACTGCACTGAAAATTACAAGACTTTAAAAACTATATTTTTCCATTTAGTTTGGCTTTCATTGTGGGAGAATAATTCACATAGATATATAAAATGCTACTATTTTAATACGCATTTTTCTTCATGTTTTTCTGATTAAATTGATTTCTTTGATTTAAATATCAAAAGCTTTGTCTGCAATATTATAAGTTTCTCAGTCGGATAAAGAGAAAGCTATCAAACAGGAATCCTTAGAAGAATACGTACAAGTAAACTTACGAATTAAGTTTTAGCGGAAAATTTAAATCCTTTAAGTAACTTCAATATTTCTAAGTAGTATTGGTTACTACTTCCCGCCGAACTATGTACATAATTGAGATAGGTAACGACTTCGGTCTAAATCTTCGATAGTGAGTTTTCAGAAAATAAGCAAGATTTAGGACCTCCAAAGTATGTTTTTATTATTTTTACAATGATGTCTGTGTGCATGTGTGCGACGATTATTTCGTCCACGATAACTCTTATATCCAACTTCCAAAAGAGTTGATTAGATTTTGAGTAACAATGGACACTCAGAAGTGATGAGTGAGTGAGTGCGTCGCTAAAATCACTTCCGACCACGGATGTGAACCAAACGGAATTATATACCATTACAGAGGGGGAATCTAATAAGTTACGATATTGAATGTTATGTACTAATAGCAGTTTCTATATTTTACAAACTTTTCTTTCATATCCAAATTTCGTTCATATTGGTACACGTTCTGACCACCTGATACAAACGCTCAAATTTATACTTGAAAAAGAAAGGAAAACAAGCCTTACTATTCTATGAAAAATTTACCAGTTCGGGAATTATTTAGCTTGACAACTGTAGACTTTCAGGATTTTTCTGATTACGTGCTTTAAATTCTGATCATTTCAAACATAATATTATTCACAGTGGTTTCTTCTTACTCAGTATCTTGAGATTTTCTCTATTTTGTCGAGAACTTTTGAGTGTGTCGGACGTCCACATTGCTCAGGCACCGTCCGCTGTTTCCTTTAAGTGCCAGGTTCTTGTATTAACACAATGAAAGTAATAATGGTGCATGTCACTTTGCTCTCTGCACTCCCAGAAGGGAGTATCCTAAAGCCTGAAGCTGCTGAGGTATGCTTTTGTGTTAGGCTAGTATCGTGGGTGTTGATTTTCACGTTAACTTTTAGCGATAAGAGAAATGTCCTTCTTCCTCTGCCTCTAACCATCTACCTTGCCACTTTCATAAGCAAGCTTATCAAAGTTTATTTGTATTGTGATAGCCGCCAGAGATGACTCTGAATCGCTGAGTATGGAGAATTACTGTTCCTGATGTGCGTGTTATTGTGCTTAATTGCAGCACTGATAACCAGAACCTCTGCTTCGTATAACGAGTTGTTTAATCCTAGTTTCCTGTTCCAATCTAACGTTATAATACCATTTTCCAATTTACAGAAGGCGCTGCTAGTGCCGTTATCCGTTTTGGAGACATTTGTAAAAAGGTTGTTATTGCTACTTTGAATGGTCCTTCGGGAGCCACTGTAGAGACTTTAGGTTATCTTCGGAAGCAGGAGAGATGAAAAGTGAGCAACGCCTTCGCCGGGAATCGAACCACGGACCTCTGGAATACGCGCCCAGAGTGCTGACCACTACACTACGAAGGCATGCTAAGAAGGCGGGAGAAATACCTTACAAGGTTACAATGAAAAAAATTCGACATTTTCGAATAGCAACACTCTTGTTTCCTTCGCAAGCTGATCAGCGCAATGAAAAATCATAAATGGCGTTGGAACTATACATATATGACAAAACTCTTTGGCGTGAAACTTTTGCAAAGAAAAGAACATCATCATTCCTCAGCAGATATGGTGAAGATAGCGGGTGGCAGCTATAGACATTATGGATGGATAAGGCGCATTTCTGCTTAATTGGGAACGTAAATGCGAAGAACTGCATTCCTTGAGCTGCCGACAATCTTCACGATTTGGCACTAGCATGTTGTAGGATTACATAAGTCCAAAACTGAAGCAGAGAAATGTCGTTAATGGCGTTGTTTGAACGCAAGATAGTGCTCCTCGACAGCACCTTCATGTGCTTGGCAACTGCTGCAGCAGCACTTTGGTTAACTTTGCAGTTTCATATCTACCGCGATTAACCAACATCAATCCAATGCATTTCTGATTCTGAGGTTATCTTAAATTTATAAGATTTGACAGAATTTGAAAAAAGCAATGGAAAGTGAAGTCTTCTGTCAAAAATGTTAAACACTGAAAGAAAGTGTTTAACATTTTTTACTAATTTGAAGTATTATCTCGTTAACCTATTAAATTTATAAATAAAAGCGTCTGAATAGTTTTTTAAATGATTTTTAATTCGTAGATATATTAAACTATAGCGTACATATTTGCAGATTTCAAAATAGATGAGGATAAAACCGCTTTTTTATAGATTCTTAAAAGAGTTTTGAAAGCATCGTCGTAGAAAATTTCTATTTTATGCATTGATCTACAGGGGCAGTATTCCAAAAGCTTTTAACTTGAAATTTGATTCTAAACGAGATTACCTCTATGACAAATTTCATAAGTCTTGTGGCACACATGGGATTTTTTTCACCAGTATAATAAATGGGTTTGGAATTGTTTTATGAAATGCAGTTTTTTTTTTTTATTTTCATACTTTTATTTGCAAACTTTTAAATGCCATCCATTGGATTCCTGTAGCCAATATCTATCCTAAAATATGCTTTATTCTGGAATTCATTTTAAACTTTTTTCCTTACCTTGCACATGTAATGAAGTATTTTATTTTTATTCTTAACCACACAATACGAGGGAAATTTTACCTAAATTTAAAATATGAAATCCCGTTTGCTTATTACTGTACGAATATCAAGTATCTTGCGCAACTGTGGTATGAGGAACCTGTGTTATAATCTTGATCAAGATTCTTTTGTAATTTGAAAAAAAAAAAAAAAAAAAAAAATTGCAACCATTTTAAATTTCATTTTACTAATAAATATTCTAATTATTATTCACCTATTATGCCCATTTAGAGATTTACTTCAGCTGCTGAGCCGCCCAACCGGTTAGGATTGCTCTTAGTGTTGCTCGAAGTGGTTAGGATTGCTGACTGCCGTGCCGAAGCGCCCGGATTCGAATACCGGAGAAGGCTTGGATGTTTGTACATGTATAGCGTCGGCGCGGCATGGCGGCACTAGTAGTATGCGACTAGCCGAAAGTCCTCTTGTATGAACTGGTGGAAGCGAAGAGGGGTGGGAAACTCTCGGACCCATTCCCCCGATGTGTTCTTCATCAAATTTGGGGGGGGGAAGTGAGCTAAAACGCACTGTCACCTGTAAGGTTGTAGAGACATTAGGTATTTTTTGGAAGCAGAAGGGAAAAATGAACCACGCTTTCGCCGGGAATCGAACCACAGTCCTCTGTAATACGCGCCAAGCGTGCAGACCACTACGCAACGAAGGAAATCCTGGTGCGGAGAATCATCATCCACCACCCTTTTAGTTCGGGCTCCACTGTACAGACATTAGGATATTTCGAAGCAGGAAAGATGAAAAATGAGCAACGCCTTCGCCTTGAATCGAACCACGGACCTCTCGAATAAAAGTCGAGCATGCTGACCACTACACTACAAAGGCATGCTAAGAAGGCGGGAGAAATACACTGTAAGGTGCTCAAGGCTGTTGCCAACGACAGGCGAAATCTTGCGCTCCTTCCACAAGCAATTTCGTGGGTTTGGGTTGATGTTACTGCCAAACAAGTGAGCATAAGTAGCAACGACAAGTTCAATTTTTGCAAAGGCACTCACCCGTAAGAGCTGAAAAAAAAAAGGCTAGCTGGTAACAAACAAAAGTTTGTTACTAGCTCCATTTTACCATTTATTAGGAATAAAATTAACTCCGTTCTCAGAAAGAACACTGATATTCTACAATAGTGAACATGCTTAGCTTTAAGATAAAAATTCAGAAGGTACTGAAGCTAGTTTTTTTTTTTTTTTTTTTAAACCACTGAAACCTGCGCTAGCTACATGCGACATGCGACGGAGGACGTGGGCACCACCCCTCTACCAATACGGTTAATCGGTATAGCGCCACGTCCACCTTTATCTAGATAACCATACGTGTTCATTGTGCTAATATACTAATACATAAACAAACATACAAATTTGGTACTTAATACAGTGGCGTTAAAGCTAATTATGTTAGCTAACATAATTAGCTTTAACGCCACTGTATTAAGTACCAAATTTGTATAGCTACAAAGAGAATGTTTCCAGTGCTTTCACAACTGACTCATAGATGCATGGTTCCAGTTCATAAAATGGTTCAAATAATGTAAACCTTCAGCCAATGACGTTGGTTAAGCGGAACCTATTTATTAAAATACATATGATGCGAAAATTAAATTTTTGCATATTCTCTGTAGTTATTATGTACAATCTATATGACAAAATCATTTGTCGTAGTGGAATTAATTTCAAATAATCAATAATCACCAAATCCAATTAAACAATGCATGAAAATAGTGCTAAGAGGAATTATTCTCTTAAAATTCGGGAGAAAGTTAGGAATTATACCTTACGTCAAAAAGTTTGAATGCTTTTTCTTTTATAACCGGACACCAATCTCATTAAGTCTAGAACAAATAGGTTAGCGAAATCTATAGGCCATATAAGCCACTCATCACTGAGAATGTTGCCTGCCTAGGGTGCTCCATATTACAGCAGCAGAAAGGAGAGACATAAAAGAGAGCTTAAATTCAAAATTATTACATCTAACGTAAATCAATTTTGATGCTGTTTCGTAAATAACGTCAGTTACCTTTGATTTCACCAGGTAAAAATAATTAAAATTTTATGATTTTAACAGTACATTCTAGACTAACGTTACAGAATAGAGTTTTATAAATATATTTTAATAGGCTAAGAAAATACTTATTTAATGAAACTTTTCTTCTAGAAGAGATAACTAAATTGTGTATATTTTCCCACCAAGCAGTGTCACATGATCGAAAGATCATAAACTCTCAGTGATTCCAGTTTAAAATATGAATTAAAGCCTACCTTTTCATTTATGCTTTAAGTATAATATCTCTGCTTGCTTCAATATAACTGAACGTATCCTCTGACTTTTACAGAATGAAGAGAGCCATGTAATTCATAATTATTTTAATTTGTATCTGCGTAAAGGAGCATATGGGTTTAATAACTAATGACACTGTAGCATTTATTTTGTAAATTAACTAATTACTTATGATTTCAGGCTTTACTATAACTTCTTAACTTTCCGTTTCCTTACAAGAAATGTAAATGAATTGGAGAGTATTTAAGCTGATAATTTTGGATTGTAAAACATATCATGTTTCTGCCTCTCCAGGCTACGTTACTTTAGTTTTGCCATCCCTGTTAAGTTTGTAATTATTCGGCTTTGCGTTATTTGCTGCAGATATTTTAACTGTTACGCGGGTTATATTTTTGAGCCAACTTCTATTTAAATTTAATTGTGTAGACTTTAATTTTATATCCTAAGTTTTATTTTAAATTTCACTGCTCGCCACAAGCGATCATCGATCCTGTTAGCACAAACGCATTTATGTTTAAAATTTGTGCTTAAATAGAAAGGCTAGTTTAAAAACTTTTCCAAATTTGTTGTTAATTTCAAACACATCAATGACTCGCTTTACGTCTATTGGGCGATTAAAACTACTTTATTCTCCCAAAATCAAACTCTACAACGCTATTATATAGCCAATTTCTTCAAAAATGCATAGTACATTAAATTTCATTTGATATATTTTGTGCTGTTATACACGTAACAGGCATTATTCAACAAAAATGATCTACATTATTAATTTGATGGAATGTATAAAGCAAATAAAAGAATCAGTAATTCTGTTATGAAAAGGCACAGATTTCATCTAATGGTACGAAGTTTTGAGCATATCCTTGAAAATGCTTACATGGAAAAAAATCGATGAAGTGTATCTAAAAATTTGATTAGATAACATAAATATGAAGACAGGCTGAAATTTCGTTTAAAAACTGCAGGGTACTTACTTTCTTCTCCCAAACAAGCAAGTAAGAGATGGACAAGAAATGCTGACAAAGAAACATACGACGTTCTGTCATAATTGGCATTTTCGAATGTTCCTTTTTGAAGTATTATAAGCAACATTTGCAACGGACAAGAAAAGATAAACTTCTGATTGGTCGTTACCCGTCAATAATGCAGCAGAACGAGTCGCTTTCGTCTTTTATAAACTTGCAGCACATTGAACAAAATTTAAGTCAAATAGAAATTTATCTGATTTTATTACAGTGCGTTATGAAAAATATTAAACGATTTAAGCTGAACAAATAAATATTTCCGGAAAATCAGTCAAACTTTATTTGTTAAACTGGACTCTATTAAAGTTACAGCATAAAGTTATAATATAAAATTAGAATACAAAGTTAGAATATAAAGTTAAATCTTTATTATATAAAGTTAGAATCTATCCTCAAAATGAAATATAGCTTTACATTTAATTTCATAAACTTAGAATTTTTTTTAAAACAATAGCTTCAGAAACTAACAAAATCATATGCAGGGGCAAAATACTTCATGAAAACAATTTTATACATTTTTTGCTCTGTATTAAACTACTTTAATTCGCTCTAAGAGACTAATTTTCATAGTCAGTCATCTTGCTATAACACTCCTTTCAGAAACTATGGAATTTACTCATATATCTCAGGAGTAGTTGATCACCGGCACATATCCTTGAGTGCCTGGAGTTGTCTCTTGTGGACCTTCACGGGTCTTCTAAGCTTGTTTTCGATTTTCTAAAGGTGAATGGACTCGTGGACCTCGTCTAGTATATTCCTAGGCATGGAGATTAGTAAAAATAACAACAATAACAACAGGAGTAGTTTTAATGACACCAAAATCTTTCGCTAAACTGAGCTCTTACATTCTTAACTACGTTTCTCTTTATTCTAGTAATTAGAAATGAGTCTTTCGTTTGAAGGGAATGATGTCTAGTGTTATAAGTTTCAAAAATTTGAATACTTTTGTGCCTGAAGGAATAATAGATATAGTTAATTGGAAGTTAAAACATTTCCTCACCTCTTAATGAATTTCTTCATGAAACCTGTGTTTTAATTTCACTAAACAAACATTACATTTATTATTCACTAGAAGTTTGTGAAAATTGTTCTACAACTTTTATATTCATGCATTAATTATTTTAATTTAATAAAATAATGGCTGTCGAAACAAAGACTGCAGACATTTATGAAAGCAAGGAAAGATTAAATTATATACCCTAAAACTGAATTGCAGAGAATTTTCATAATGACTTTTCCGTAGATTTTATATAAATGATTAAGCGCTTGATAAACCTGATGAGACTAAATGTGATTGTGGCATATGCCCATTCCCCTTCTTTTATCAATAAATGTAACCTACCATTCTTAGCTAATTTAACATGCAACTGAATTCGTACGTCTTTATGAGTTTGAAGAATCCCAATAAAATTATTTTCTACACTTCTACGCACAGTTATTGTAACTACAAATTATTCACAAAATTCTATTTTTTTTTTAAATTTAGTGTGATATTCTTTTTTGAAAAGCATAAATTTGGTATCAAAACGTACAATATTATATTTACTCAAAAATAACACACCCTAGAGCATTTGCCAATCCTTACCTTCTAGGACAAATTCAAAGAAATAAAATTAGAGAGGTGAATATTTATTTTGTCTTGCAGTAATTTATGAAAGGAAAATCTTAATCTTTCTTTCCCTTTCTGAAAATTACCTTGGAAAATCAGCACAGTAGCTCTGATCCTGTGACTTTTTTAATCATACGTTGTAACCTTTTTGTTGACGGGTACCAATTAAACAGTGACCAATCACTGACTAATAGAAAACTGAAATCTCTCCGCTAGACGTGGCTATTATAATTAGGTTTAATTAGGCAGTATAAAAACAGGTTGCTGTTGTCTTGTCCATGTATGTATTTCATGGAAGAATAGCTGCCAGAACCTGAAGGAGGTTTTAATTATTATTATTATTATTATTTTACTTATTAAGTGCTCCGCCCTTAGGCACTACACGGAAAGGGAGGGATGCCCCGTGGAGGTCTTTTAAGGGAAACTGACTCGTATCCACGTTACGCATGGGGAAAACCACGAAAACGCCCATGCAGCCAGCCCGTTCGCCGGGATTCGAACCCCAGACAGAACTACCTTCAGCGGCTTTTACCGCTCGGCCGCTGGTGGCCTCAAGGAGGTTGGACTTCTATTTCCACTTCTCTCTCTTACCCAAAAAACCCCACGAGAGGACTTTTGGATCGCCATATATTTAGAGTGTCCCCATGCCGCAAGGACACTGTACGTTTATAAACATCCATGCCTTCCCCGGTATATTAACTCGGGCCCACCACTATATCGTCTATGCGGCTCAGTAAACAGTTAAAATTTAAAATAATATTACATTCAAACATTAACAGCAAAAAAGTAAAATTACAGGTATTGTTGGGAATATAACCACTATAGAAAAGTTAATAAGAGAAATACAGACGTAAAGCGTTTTTATAAAATGTTAATGCATCATAAAAAGGGCCATAAAAATTCTTAAAAAGGTTTTGCATACT